ATGTCTCTTGTCGACTAAGCCATTCTCGTAAACACTCCCAACAAAACATATGTCCACACTGTGTAACAACTGCGTTGTGTGCCGTGTCAAGACAAATTAGGCATTCAAATTGGTTTTGCCCCGTTTCTTTCGTTGGTTTTTCTACCTCTTCTATTTTTTCTTCTTTTTCTTCCTGTACTTCTTTTTCTTCCTGTACTTCTTTTTCTTCTTGCACTCTTTTTTCTTCTTGTACTTCTTTTTCTTCCTTTATTTCTTTTTTGTCCTCCTGTACTTCTTCTTTATCTTCAAGACTACTAATAGAATTATTGTTATTCATATTTTGTAGTTGTTCTATCATACTGAGTGAGTTGCGTTGGGGTTCCATTCTTTGTAAACAAATATTTTTTGAAATAAAAGATGGTGATGAATTTATTTTGGGTTAAGAAAAGAAAAAAAGGAAATAGTTTAAAGAATTTGTTGAAGAAGAAAAGAAAGAAGATAATAAGAAATAATAAAAAAAAAAAGAAAAATAAAAATGAATTCAATAAAATAAATTAAAATTCTTATTTTTATTCTTTAATTCTGAACCATCATTGTATCTTCTTCTCTTAAATATTCTCCTAAATCTCCTTGATTATAACAAACAATCCCTGTTGCACTTAGTCGAGAATATTCTACTGATGAACATGCTGTTGTTCCAAATCCAATTGCAATATCATTTTCATTAAACATAACACATCCAATATTTCTTGCCATGTTATCCGTTATTTTACTTATTCCATTTTTACTAAATGATTTCCATATAAAAATGATGTTTCTGCTTCTGCTTTGACCTATATTTTGCATGAACAATATTGTGCTAGATATGGTAGTGCTGTAATGTGAAGTTTAAATTTCCCTGTTTTAGTGAATTTCCCAAAACAAGTACCAAGTGTTAACAGATTATCTCTTCCAATTGTTGTTGCTTGTTCTGCAATACTTAATCTCACATAATAAACTCTATCTTTTTGTAGTCTAAAACAGTATTCTTCATTTTCATTGTCTATTAAAAATCGAATGTTTCTTCCTATGTACTTAGCTAATTTCTCAAAAAATGATTTTGTTTCTTCATCAGTTAATGGTCTCATTCTTTTCTTTTTTTTATTTCTTTTTTTTATTTTTTTAAAGGGTTTTAATTTCTATTTCTTTTTAAAATTTCTTTTTTTTAATTTGTTATTTATTCCACAAAATTATTTCTTTGCTTTTCTTCTTTCTTTTTGATTTTCTTGTTATTCTCTTCTTTATCACTTTTACTTATCTATTTCAATATTCAGACTTAATAAGATTCTTGGTTGAAACAATAAAGTGATTCTGCACACTGAATTTATATTGAAAAGATAACACTATACAGTTAACTTAATGGTGTTAAGAGATTTTACAATAACTATTATCTCTGGAGCTATATTCTATTCACTGAAATTCGTTAAAAATTATTGGTGATATTTTTACTCAAGAATAATAAAAAAGTTATATTAGAAGACTTTTAATGGGTAAATAAAAGTGAATAATGTCAATTTTTTTTAATTTTTATATTGTTTTTATTTATGTAAGATACACCAAATGATAAAAAAGAAATATAACCAATAACAACTCCATTATTTATTGATATTCATTACTATAACTAAATTTTATATTATTTCTGTTGATAATTTTATTGAGTGTTAAGAAATTTCGACATTACGAATATTCTTTAATTACCATTATTATTATAGCTGAGTATACACCCTTTTATTATTTTAATTAGTACTAATTATCTATCTTATTTTTGTACGATAATCATTGAACATGTTAATTAGATTTCTGTTTTCAGTAATCTGTCTTTTGTATTGTCATGTCTATTTATATTTATTATCAGGGATTCCTATTTTAATTAAATATTGTATTTCATCAAATTTAAAATATTTATTGCTTAGGACACAAAGGATAGAATTAAAAAAAAATGAGAAACAGTGTATAAATATTATATTGTATAAAATTTTAATATTGAATTTCTCTTCAATAATGAATTGACACTATCAATATATTAATGATACTACATTGTCGTTGTTTGATTTGTAGTTTTGTTATACATCACTTTGAATAATAAAACTGATATCATTCATTTAATAATAATT